TAGAGGGAAAGAGGAGTGGCAGTTTGCTAGAAAAGGGAGATAGGGAACTGAGGGAGGGGGGTAGAGCGGTGGGTGGAAGTTTTTTTTTTTTTTTTCCCCGCTCGGCGCTACCCCTCTCTCTTCTCTTCCTCTCTTGGGGCCTCAAGAAATGTGGGGAGCATATCGAATTGATTGAGATAGTTTTGGGGTGGTGGGGGGATCTGTCCATGGTTGGAGTTTAACCCCAAGGTGGTAAATCTATGGTGGGTTTGGTCCCTCAAAAGATGTATAGGCAAAATGTAAGCCTAAAGGAAGGGAGGTGTGGGAGGGAGGGGGTGGACTGGAGGGTGGAAGGGTGTGGGAGGGTAGGAGGGAGGGTATTGGGTTGGATAGCTTGGAGGAAGATAGGAGTAATAGGGGCGGAGAGAGTGAGAGGAAAAGATGGAGAGAAGGGAAAGGATATAAAGGAAATGGAAGATTTATGATTTAAAACCTATAATGTAAACGGGTTGTGTTGTCCAGGGAAAAGATTTAAATTATATAAGGAACTACAACATAGAGCAGATTCAGTGCTTTTCCTGCGGGAAACGCATTTTGAATTGAAGTCAAATGTAAAGTTGAGTTCTAGATATTATCCATTATGGTACTACGCAGATTCCCCTGTTAAGAGAGCAAAGGGTGTAGCTATAGGATTTGCAAAGAATATAAGGTTTGAGTTGGAAGAAAGAGAGACAGACCCGGAGGGGAGGTTTTTATTTCTGAGAGGTAAAATACAAGATATTGAATGTACTGTTGCTAATATCTATTGCCCTAATAAGAAACCGGAGCTATTCCTGAAAACATTTTAAAAAAAATTGATGGATTTTAGAAAGGGGTATTTGATAGTAGCTTGGGACTTTAATTTATGTATGGACCCACAAATGGATACAAATTCATCCTTACAAAGAGAGGGTAGTAAGTCCCTAAGAGTACTGAGGAAAGTGATAAGGGAGTATCAGCTGGTGGACAGTTGGAGAATTATGCACATGAAAGATAGATTATTCCTTCTCAAGGGTTCATGAGATGTATTCTAGACTGGACTACATACTGATAGATCCCAGATTAATAGAGTCTTTGGTTAGAGTAACAATAGAGATTATGTCACTCTCAGACCATGCCCCGGTTGTAATGAAAGTAGGATGGGGAAGAAGGCCTCCAGGTGGGTCGGTTTGGCGGTTGAATGAGGATCTCCTAATCTCCTAATGGATCGAGCGAAAGATTGGAGAGGAAATTAGGAGAGATTTTGAGGAAAATGAAACGGGAGATGTCGGAGGCTACAGTGTGGGAGGCCCATAAGGTGTATATATAAGGGGAGTCGTCATCGCAATTGGGGCAAGAGAGAGAAGAGAGATCAGTAGGCTCCTAAAGGAATTAGCGGAGTGTGAACAATTGCATAAAAATAATATAACGAAAGAGATAATGCAGAAAGTAAAGGAAAAGAGAGAAACTAGAGATTTTGATGGGAGAAGAAGAGAGTCTTTAACAAAGTGTTATGTGATAGATATAGATGGGGGGATAGAACAGGAAAGTTTTTAATGAGAGCTTTGAGGAAAAAGAAAAATAGGAATTATATAGAGAAAATAAAGAACCCTAAGGGAGAACTGGTTTACTCAACTAGAGATATTGCGAAAGTGTTCAGGGATTATTAGAGCAAACTTTATAACGTTGCCCCCCAAGATTTAACAGGTAAGGACGGAATAACAAATGTAGAAAAAAGAATTTATTTAAAAAATGCAGGTCTACCGAAATTAAATGATCTTTTGAATTCGCTAGAATCTGAAATTCCCTATGAAGAAATAAAGATAGCATTAAAAAATTCCATGACAGGCAAAAGCCCAGGGCCAGATGGGTATACTGTTAGATATTATAAAAAATATAGTGAATTGTTAATACCTAAATTGAAGTCCTATTTCAACGCCTTGGGGGAGGAGATGGATATGAGACGAGACTCACTGCAGGCTCAGGCGGTCCTCATTTACAAGAAAGGAAAAGATCCCACCCAATGTTCAAGTTATAGACCAATATCATTATTAACTATAGATACGAAGATTTATGCAAAGATCTTAGCAAATAGACTGAGAGATTTAATGCCTGAATGGATACATGAAGATCAGGTGGGTTTTGTTCAAGGGAGAGAGGGTAGAGATAATGGGTTGAGATCACTGTTGCTTATTCAGAAAAGTAGAAAGGGGAAGACTCCAGTGGTGGTTCTTTCAGTGGATGCAGAGAAGGTATTTGATAGAGTTAATTGGGGATATATGATGGATACATTGGAGATCCTGGGAGTGGGTGCTAGAATGAGAACTTGGATAGGAAAGTTGTATAGGAGCCCCTCTACAGTGGTTATGGTAAATGGGGAGATGTCGGAGTCATTTGGGATGACAAATGGAACAAGACAGGGCTGCCCGCTGTCCCCATTGTTGTATGTTTTGTCCTTGGAATCACTGTTGGCAGCAATAAGGAAAAACTCAGACATAAAAGGAATATGGATAGGAAATATAGAGGATAAGGTTGCCGCTTTTGCGGATGATTTATTGTTTTATGTAGGAAATCCTAGGATAATGCTCCCTAACTTAATGAGGACACTGAAGGAATATGGAGAGATTTCAAACTTAAAAATTAACCCATCTAAAACAGAGATCTTAAATATAAACCTTACAAATAAGGAAAAAAGGGGGATACAAGGGGGAATTTCCCTTTGTATGGAAAGAGAGAGAACTAAAATATTTGGGGGTAAAACTCACTTCGGCATATAAAAACTTGTATAAATCAAATTATATATTAATGTTAAATGAAATTAGAGAGGAATTAAAGAGACTAGGGGGAGGAAATCGGTCCTGGACGTATAAATTTGATAAAAATGGAAGTAGTTCCCAAAATCCTATATAAATTCCAAATGGTCCCTATTAAGCTTCCAGAGGTATGTTTTAAGATAAAGAAAAAGATAAGATTCATTTGGAGAAATAAAAAAACCTAGAGTATCTTATGAAGTGATAACTAGAAATAAAGAGGCGGATTGGGAGTGCCAGATTTTAAGAGATATTATAAAGCAGTTATTTTGGCTAGAATATTTGACTGGACATATAATTTAAAAGGGAAAAGTTGGGTCACAATAGAAATTCACTTAGTGGTAATAATTTAAGTAGGAGTATATGGGTGCCTACAGAGTATAGAGGATTAAAAGAGAGCATGAGTGTGTATACATTAAATGTTTTAAGAGTGTGGGATAAAATGCACAAACAGTTAAAGTGGGAGTATAACTCATTCTTGATGCCATTGAGAAACTCAGGGTTCTTCCCACCAGGTAGGGAGGAAGTCTCAGGAAAATGGATCAGGAATGAGGGAGCCCAGTTGAGAGATATAATGAAAGGTGTAGAATTGAGAACACTTACGGACTTGGAAAAGGAAGAGGAAAGATTTTCACTAAGATAGATAGTTGTAGCTATAATCAATTAAAATGTTTTGTGGGGAAATTACCTAAGCCTTCGAGAGCTAGTATAGATTGGAACTTGTTTGAGAGGTTGTTGGGATCACGAGGTGATGGGAAACATGGTACGGCAAAAATATATAAAATTCTCAAGAAGTTAGATATAGGTGAAAAAAAGTTAATGTATATAGAAAAATGGGAAAGAGATTTGGGGGTGGAGATAGATGAGGTTAAACAGAAAAAAATATTTAGATTGGTTCACGAGAATATAAGTACACAGGAAGTGGAAATGAATTATAAATGTTTGCAAGAGGATATATTACACCGATTATAGAGTATAGGATGAGAGGGGAGAAATCACCTTTGTGTTGGCGAGGGTGTGGAGAGATAGGCACGTTTTACCACATATGGTGGGAATGTCCAAAGATAAAAGTATTCTGGAGAAAAGTGGTACATCAAATTAGAAAGATTACAGAAATTGATATTATTATTGGTGCAATGCTCTGCAGCTTCCTGTGAAAACAAATAATGCACATTTGTCCTGCAAAAATGTGTACTTTTTTTTTTTTTTTTTTTTGTTCCTGAAGTATTTCTAAAGTCTTGGATAGAGGGGATAGGGATTAGAACTGCTGTCTGGTGTTGATTGCTGTCTGTGTTAGAAACCAAGACAGATAGAGGGTGAATCTTCCTGTTATCACAGAGAGTGAAAGAAAGTTACAAATTTTGGGTTGTCACCAAGAATAGAGGAAAAGCTTCCAATGGAGACCCTAGATCTGGTGACAGCTAGGGATTCTCTCACTTGGATTTTCTCTGACTTCCTGTGTATGTTACTGGACAAGAAGTGGAAGGAAATCCCCCAATGGGACACAGATGGCATAAAAAATATCTGACAGGGATTATAACCCTTTATTACTCCATCCAAAATCAAAAATGTTATATATTTAGTTCTACTGTAAAGGTTAACTTCAAAAGCGTAGATAAGATTTTAATGATTAGGTTTTGGTCTTCTATAGAGTCCATGCACACTGGTTTAAAAAATTGTTTCTATAGGAGTTTTTGCTTGTTGAAGCAGCTCAGCATTTGGAGGCAGAAAAAAACCCTTCTGGTTTGCATTTTTGAGAGGAGTTTTCTGGCAGAAAAAAATTCTAAACACCTGTACAAAAACACTATATGAGCGTTTTTGTTTTTCCTGCAAAAAGAACTGGTGTTTTTTTTGTTTGTTTTTTAGCCCAGTGTGCATAGAAGTAAAGTGCAGAACCTATAGCAACCATTTGGAATCCAGTTCCAAGACTGATTGGTTACAGTAGGTCACTGACTTTGCACTTAGGATTTTGTTCTATTGCATTGTTTGTTGACTAAGGGCACTATATATGAATTGTCCAAATGCTTATCTATGTGGGGCATGAGTGAAGAAAAACTTTAAAGAAATATCAGTTGGCATTATTGCCCACCTTATGGTTTATTTAATCCTTTGTGTATTGTGACATAAATGTGATGTTTTGCAAAAGTGTACTGTATACATAAACCACATGTAGATGTAAAATGTCTCTCACAGGCACACTTGGGTGAAATATTTAATATGGAGCCTCATGAAGAGGTGGTTATCTGCAAATACTATGAGAAGAAGTTGGTGGATTTCTGCAATGCTTTCAAACCTGCAATGCCTAAATCTGTCTTGGTAAGTAATAGTAACTTTTTTAGGTACGTTTTTTTTTTTTTTTTTTTCATATAGAAATGCTTATGTTTATAGCACTAGACACAGGCAAACTTTATTATTCCGCCTTATGTTATCAATTTTATTTAACCACTTCAGCTCTTTGGATGTAGTATGTACATCCAGAGACTGAACAGTTAAGCACAAGCTTGTGGCTGCAATAGCTCTCCTGCTCTTATTCTCTTACTGGGAGCCTGGGGCCACATCAAACCGCTTCAGGATGGCACGTGGGAGGAAATTGGGGAACCTCCATTTCTCTACCTCCTCTGCACGGAATGAAACCAAAAGTGTTGATGATTTTGTCACTTCCAGTTTTAGAACTGTGAGGCAGTTAACCAAGCAGATCTGGCTTTGGTTAGTTGCTTTTTGGAGAAAACATTGGGGTCTATTAGACCCCCAGTGTCACCATAAAGAGTACCTGTCACCTGCTCAATGTTATCACATGGGGTTTGTTAACCACATGTTAAAGGTTCCGTGTTCCTAGTGCAGATGGTAAAAATTTACACTAAACCAGATAGCGTAAAATTATACGCATGTGTACATATATCCTGTAGGATCCCCTTCTGCACTCAGATCTGGTCAAATAGATAGCTGGAAAGGATAGACGTCCTGCGCCCTCTTGTGGTGAAAGAGTGGTCCAGCAAGTCAGAACGATGCCAAACAGAGTAAGCCTTCCCCCTTCACTGAAGATGACCAGGAGATCCCTTGGGGCTGTAAAAGTTGAGGAAGCTCCTCACAGGGAACACAGGGAAGTGCTCATAGTGTAGTAGATAGGCTTTTATTATAAAAACATAGGTGCACAATAAAACGGGTGTAGACAGGTATGCATGAATACACTGACCCCTTGGAATTTAAAGATGGCCGCCGGGCCTCCTCGTGGCACCGGCGGCTTAGTGTCAACGGCGTCCCAGGTCCAACTGACGCGTTTCGTGCGCACGCACTTCTTCAGAGGTGGAACAAGGACCGCCGTGACCGTCTCCTCTAACGTTTATACCGAATCTGGCGCATGCGCACTGATGCGGCGCCATCTTGCCGAAGTCCGGGCGTCCGCAATTCACAAGTGCGCATGCGCGAATGCCATTTTTTACCATGGGCCAAAGTAGATGCAAATCTCCAGACAGCGGCTCCATACTAGTGGAGTCCGGGCGTCCGTATTGCGCAACTGCGCATGTGCGGGCACCATTATGTCATGTGCCAAAAGGTAGAATACCCAGCGCTAACTGAAGCGTTATTATGAGTACCGGACGTGATATGCACTGTAATAAAATAGCAAACTAAATAATATTATGTGGGGAACCCCCTCAGAGGACATCCAATGAGAAATAATATTGAGGGGAGAAAAAATTAAACATGTTCCCAGAGAGTATGAATGGTCAGAACAAGGGCTCAAAAGGTCAATCATGAGTAAACAAATACCAAAATCAGGGGCCCATAGGTACATAAGCCCCATAAAATGATCTAATGAATAAAAAGTAAACCTTAACTGAATACGGTATCAAGCCCTATGCATAGGTATTAATCACATATGCAGGGACAAGGCAACATGGTAAATTGGCATTGTAAAGCATATAAAATACCAGTCACATGGAAATACAAACCCATGATGACAAGGTAAATAAACAAAGAATATATATAAAAAATGCATGTTAGAATTCAGCGACAGATTAAAATTAATAAAAAAAGAGAACAGTTGTCACAAGCATATGTCACAATGTGTAAAACCAAGAAGCTTAAGGATAGATATGGTCCAATTCAAATGAGCGTGTGTGGAAATGGGTTTATGTTAATTACCATACACAAGTGGTTAAGATAAAAATTAAAATGAGGTTAAGTGTATAGTGACTCACCGTTGACCTAAAGTATAGTCAACGTGGATTCTCGTGTCAATATCCTGCTATAGACCCTAGTAGGTTCAGCTATTATCGATGTAGCAGTTGACATCAAGTTCAATATTCAAGCCTGCAGGGTGCAAAGTCTCCAATTCAAAAATATATTTAGTCTCCATCTGTGAGACCGCCCTGGTCTTAAAAGTTCCTCTCCAATGTGCGGTTACTGCATCAATACCAACAAATCTCAGACTGGAGGGGTCCCTATGGTGATATTTCCTGTAATGGAGGGACAGGGAGTGTTCCTTATATCCCTTTTTGATGTTATTGACATGTTCCCGGAGGCGATCCCTAAGTCGCCTAGTCGTCCTCCCAATGTATTGTTTGGAACAGGGGCATTCTAATAAGTATACAACGTACCTACTATTGCAACAGATGAATTTGTCAATATTGTAGCATTTATTAGTCTGGTTAGAGGAAAACGTGTCTAGCTTTTTCTTCCTCACTCCATTGCACTTACAAGCAATGCATTTATTGCAGGGATAGAAACCGGTATAGCTGAACAGAGAGGGGGTGTGGTGTAGGCAAAGAGACCACGTTAGGAGCTATTTTATCCCTCAGAGTGGAAGACCTGCGGAAGATAACTTCAGGTTTATCCGGAAGTATCTTAGAGAGCGTGGAATCAGCCTTCAAGATCCCCCAATTTTTCGTGATAATGTGTTTTATGGATCTGTACTGAGCCGAGAAAGTAGTAATAAATGGGCAGACCAAAGTTTTGGACGGTTTAGTTTGGATACTCAATAATTCCTGTCTGTCTGTATTGGCGATTACTTCCATAGTGCCATCTAACATCGCTTTGTCATAACCTTTTTCAAGGAATCTATCCTTTAGGATATTAGCCTGCGTGTAAAAGGCATCAATACTGGTACAGTTTCTCCTGAGTCTGAGGAATTGCCCTTTCGGTATTCCTGCTAACCAACTGGGATGGTGACAGCTACCCAGAGGAATAAAGCTGTTGCGGTCGGTGGGCTTGAAAAAGGATTTTGTAGCAATATTCCCCTCTAGGTTTAGTAAAGTGAGGTCTAAGAAATCAATTTCTGTGTTGCTGTAGTTATATGACAATTTTATATTAACCTTATTGTTATTGAGAGAGGCGAAAAAGTTGATAAGGGACTGCTCCGTGCCATGCCAAAATAAAAGTATGTCATCGATGTACCGTTTATAGAAAAGTAACTCAGGCCAGTCCATAGCATAGATATTGTCCTCCTCCCAAAAGGACATAAACAGGTTTGCTAGGCTGGGGGCAAACTTTGCCCCCATAGCAACACCCTTGACCTGCAGATAGTATTTACTATCAAACCACATATAGTTTTTTGACATGGCAAAGTCCAGAAGTTCTAGTATAAAATCAATGTGTGGAGAAAGTAACGAACTCTCATGTGTGAGATAATGTTTAGCGACAGTCATCCCATCTTTATGATTGATGTTGCTGTACATCACCTTTCTTCTCAAGCGCTGCATTTTTATATACATGAATTGTGGGACTTTATATGAGTTTTCCTTTATGTTCAGCTGCTATCACCATTGACGAGCGCTTACTGTATATTTTACCTTATACCTGTTTGTAACCATATTTATTAGTATAGCGGCTCTCTACCATACTTTCCTAATGGGGGACATCTTTGATATTAGAGCCTCTAGATCTCTAATACCGGATGATATATTCACACAAGTTAACGAAACAGATGATCTGAGGGGGTTGTTCATTCATCTGCACAATCTCACTACCTCTGAAATCAAGACCATCTGGGATATCTCCTTTTTGGAGAAATATGTTAAAGATCTAATGGTCCCCAGATCTCTTAGATGGGATATTTCTCCTGACACTGATGACACTTCATCATTGTTGGAATGGTACCATTATTTCAATACGGTTGGGATTGACATGCTTAAATTCTTAATTGCCAGAAAAAAGAAAAAGCTGATCTACCTGGATAAGGAGATTAACTTGGTAAGGGATAAACTTAACCCTTACAAAACCAATGATGACTATATCACTGAATCCAATAAGTTAAAAAAACACCTAGAAAATGTGGATTTGGAGCAAAAAAAAATAAAAAAAGAAAGATACAGTAGAGATTTGACTGACTACCAAACACAGCAGGTGTTCAAATGGCAAACTTTGGACACCACTAATATGACAGGTAGTAGTGGTTCCCATCCACCCTCTACCCCGGTTCATAAACAAGGTCAGCAAAATCCCACTAATTTACAGAGTAAGATGAGACCTTCAATTCAAACAAAGTAAGTTATAACATCACTACCCAGAATAAATTCCAACCACTAGCGGAATTATCAGATAGAAATATCGGGTCTAGGGATAATAGATGGCATCCAAATGCTCATCCGAAACAAAGAAATTCTGCTCCATATAACACCCAGCAGAAATCTAATAAATCCAATAAACGTAAAAACCACTATAAGAACAATCACCATCAGGGCCCTACTTACCCGCAGAGGAATTCTTTTGATAACCGAAATGATTATCACTATTATAATTCCCCACAACAAGGGTATTATAGGGATCCATTACCCCCATGATTACCAAAATCAATATTGGAGACCACCATATGATGAGTATTATGCACCTCCTACCCCTAGAACTCCAGATACCCGCACCAATAATGGCCATCATTTTTTAGAGAGAGGCAGGGTACGAAAACGAAGCGACAACATAGAGGCAAAAGGGGAGGGAGGAGAATCAATAGATCCAACAAAACGAAGGAGAACTTGATAGGGAAGGGCATTTTTAATCTTAGTGCAACTCCCCTTTCTGATAATGAACTCATTCTCCTTGATAAAGGCTTGAAATTTGCCCCTGCTAAACCTATGAATAAATTTCAGGCTTTATTGATATTCAGAAATTCGCAAGAAAGTTATCCATCAAAAGATATTTTCTGAATAATCCCATCTCTAAACAACCTTCCAGTCAGTACACCTCCCTTGCCAACGCATCCACTTTCAACCCCCCACCACAGAATAATTCTGCTGTTGGTTTATTTAAAGACCAGGTATTGAAAGACCTGAAAAATCTCCCGCCCAAGAGAATTTATAAGGACCTTAAGACGATGCAGCTATCAAATCTCTTTTGGATAAAAAAGACCTTGTAGT